TCCACAGATGGGTTGAATAAATCAAGGTACATGGAGGAATAATATGCCACTGTCAAAAATGACAAATTAAAGGGAAAGGTGCCCATGACATTGTAAAGGTTTAAAAGGAAGTTGTAGAATAATGTGTAGTATATGGTGCTATTTTGGGGGGAAAAAAAAGGAAAGCTTGTATCTTTGTAGTGTTTGCATTAATCTGGAGAGAAGGCTCTCTCCTAGAGAGAATATTCTTTTGAATAACCTATTTATCAATCTTGGGGAGAGAAGGCTTGGAATGAGGGGAGCTCATTATTTTTAGAAGAAAAACTGTAGAATACCCGATGTAACATACAAATCCGTCCTTTGGCTTTTTCAGTAATAAAATCTTGATAATTGGTAAACACATCTTCCTTGATTAAGAGACGCTCTCATTTCGAGTTTCCCCACTGCCATTCGGCTCTTGTCTTTGGGTGGAGACAGTTCCAGGGGTTCACTTTTCCCGGTGCCTGAAACGAAGAAGCCAGAATGTCTCTGAAGGAAGCCGTAGGAATAACCATTTCCAGCGGGCCCGTAATCAGCCTTCGCCATGGAGGACAGAATGTAGTGACATTTTTTTTTAAAAGGAGGAGAAGATGATGCCATTAACGTGCAGCCCTCCCTGGTTCAGACTGTTCGGGAGAGATTTGCCACGGATGCGCTGCAGGTCGGAGGGAGGGAGACCTGTTATTGAGGCCCTCCACTTGCACTTAGCCCGGCGCCCATTTCTTAGGGAATATTGATCCAAAGTACTCTCCTCTGTCATCTGAGGGGCATAATGCAGTCCCTGAGTATTCACAGAAAAAAGCCTTTCTTTGCCAGGCTATTTTCTGAAGTCAAAAAGATCCTTTCAGGATCTATAATGGCAAGCCCCTCGCCACTTCACACCCTCAGTGAGAAGCGCACTCCAATTTTCAGAGCCCTAGGGCCCCAAGCCAAGGAGGAGCTGGTGAGTGTGACCTCTTCGTGTAAAATATTCTGTGTCAAACTCAGCAAGCAGGAGGACAGCGCGGGGCAGGGGACATGCAGATGGAAGATTAAAAATGACACCTGGACACACGAGAAAGGGCGCTCTTGTCCCAGAGATAATGTATGCGTTTATTCTTTCATTCCTAGAATAATGTCTTAAATAGAATTTTCAGTCACGTGCATAATGCTCTCGGATTGGAGTTGCTCATGTCTGACATGGTGCAGAAGGGAGAGTGCCAGCTGCAACTTCCGAGTTTCTCTTACTTTTCATTCTGTAAAAGGCAGGATCTTCCAGACTAGTATCTCTTAACATGACAGCTTGTGCTAAATGTCTCTCCCCTCTCATCTTATGCAACTTAGGACAGTGGAGACTGAAGTATTGAAAGTATTTTTAATTTAAAATGCTAACAATGACAAAAAAAAAAAAAAAGATGCACTCTCCAATTCCAGCAAATTCTTTTCCATTACTCAGAAACAGCATCATTTCAGAGAGTTCCTGCTGTCTTGTTGCTGCTGTTTGCTTGACTGAGTGTTTTGGAGGGCACATTTGGGGCAGAGAGAATATCACTATTGTTTGGAATGGGCCTGCCTCTCTGGGCTGTCGGCTGGTCTTGTCATGTTCTCTGAGGGTGAAAATAAACGCCTGAAGTTGCAGCAAGCAGCATGCTAAGAGTCTCTGACCTGGGTTGTGAAAGCAAGTCTCTTCTCCACTCAAGGGTGGCTCTTCTGGTATATAATGACATGGAAGTGTCTTTACCTTCTTTCTCTGAAACTCCTGAAACATAAAAACTCTTTTTCAGGAGACAATAAATAATTTTGACCAAACTGTAGCAAGTCCTTAATAAATGTGTGGATCTGAGTGCAGGGCACAGAAAGCGACCTTCTGGAGTGTGGCAGACCCCCAGGGACATCACACCGACAAGCGTGGGAACCCGGTTTTGCTCCAGGTCCTTCGTCTCAAAGTCTGTTTTTGAGAAGCAGAGCAATTTGTCTTTTCATGAGCAATTTGTCCTGCCAGGGAGGTACTATCCAGTGGTTTATGGAGTCTCAGAGATAGGTTAACTCCAGCGTATTCTTCTCTGCATATGGGGAGAGTTCGAGAATCTCCCAGGCTGCAAAGAGTAGAGTCAAGGTGGCCTCTGACTTAGCAGTAGGGACACCTTTACAGTGGCCAAAAAACATGGAAACTACATTTTCAACAGTCTATGCACTGGTTAAGAACGATGACTGCTGCTGAATGGGGGTGTCATCAACAAGTGGGGACCAGGAGCCTGGGCTCCTGCCTGAAGCCCCACTTTCTGACTATGTGAAGCCAGTGAGCCACTGTGTTTAGGCCTTGGCTTTTGCGCCTATAGAAGGATGTGGTTGCAGTATGGAGGATGACCTTTCCCACTGTGATCTGTGCCTTGAGGAAACCAAATGTGCAGAGATGAAGTTTACTTTGTGTTCTAAGCTCCATGATCTTCACATTTTGGTTTGAAAAATGAAATGCAACTAGAACTATTTCCATTTATAGAAGGAAGAGCAAAGGATAATGGTGCCCCTTGACATAGATGGCTTAATAAACCAAAGTGGCCTCGATTGAGTTTTATGCACATACACAGCACCATAATGCCAGCTCAAAGGTATACAGAAGTGAGCAAATATAAAAGTCAGAGTCTTCTCGCTGGGAGATACTGTTTATTGTAGGAAACATAAATAACTCTGGCACTTTTTTTCCGGGAATACTTAGAGAATTATACTATGGCTGGGGTGTCCCTTAAGAATATTCTTTTTTTTTAAGCCAAGAAAGATGGATAAGAGCATTATTGGTAACAATGGTCCTTTTAGAACCACTGGAAGTTGGATCCTTTTTGGAATTCTGCTGAAAGTTTTGCATGGTAAGTCCTAAGATTTGATGAGTATTTCTTGAAGATAACCTGATCGCTCACATGGAGCACCATGGGCTGGACTGCTTCTCCACCCATCCATCTTTTTGCTATGAGAAAGTAGGCTGAGGCGAGAGGATCGTGTGAGCCCAGCTGTTCAAGAGCAGCTTGGGCAACATCGCAAGACTCCATCTCAAAAAAATATAATACAATACAATAAAGAAAGTAAACTATTTTATGAGGATTTCATAACAATATCCCTTGAATTTCAAATAATCATCTCCAGGTCTGAAAAGTAGCCCTAAATTATCCTTGGGGGACTTTCTAGGGAGTCCTGGAGGCCCACGTGGAAAGCTGAATTGTGAAGGGTAGGAGTGCGTCTCCCTCTGTGGAGCAACAAGCTGCTCTCCAGGAAGGGGGCCGAGTCTCCCCCGACGGCACACATGCAGGCGGGAGGGGGGGCAAGACAGGGGCCAGTGCTGCCCACAGCATCACTGATGGGGATGGCCCAAGCTCCAGATCTCTCTGCAGGTCAGAATCCTCTGGGTGGCTTTAAGAAAAGCAGACGCTGAGGTTCTCCCCAAGACCTGGTGGATCAGAATCTGGGTGGCCAGATGAGCTAGGAATCTGCATCTTACTTTGGAAGCTTCCTAAGTGACGCTGATGCGCAAGGCTGAGATCCACTACTTATAGGCCACAAAGCTCTAAAACTCCACCTCGAGCTTTATTCTAAGAGGAACCGAGTAAGTCTCGCTTTGTTGCCCCGGCTAGAGTGAGTGCCCTGGCATCAGCCTAGCTCACAGCAACCTCAAACTCCTGGGCTCGAGCGATCCTTCTGCCTCAGCCTCCCGAGTAGCTGGGACTACAGGCATGCGCCACCATGCCCGGCTAATTTTTTTTTATATATATATATCAGTTGGCCAATTAATTTCTTTCTATTTATAGTAGAGACGGGGTCTCGCTCTTGCTCAGGCTGGTTTTGAACTCCTGACCTTGAGCAATCCGCCCGCCTCGGCCTCCCAAGAGCTAGGATTACAGGCGTGAGCCACCGCGCCCGGCCTTTTTTTTTTTTTTTGAGACAGAGTCTCGCTTTGTTGCCCAGGCTAGAGTGAGTGCCATGGCGTCAGCCTAGCTCACAGCAACCTCCAACTCCTGGGCTCAAGCGATCCTTCTGTCTCAGCCTCCCAAGTAGCTGGGACTACAGGCATGAGCCACCATGCCCGGCTAATTTTTTCTATATATATTAGTTGGCCAATTAGTTTCTTTCTATTTATAGTAGAGACGGGGTCTCGCTCTTGCTCAGGCTAGTTTCGAACTCCCGACCTCGAGCAATCCACCCGCCTCGGCCTCCCAGAGAGCTAGGATTACAGGCGTGAGCCACCGCGCCCGGCCTGGAACCAAGTATTAAAAGCAGAACATACCTTTAAGCAAGTTCTTGCTATCAGTCAAAAGCTACAAAAAAAAAAAGGCCAAATGATTCAGGCTCTACTTGACACTCCCAGGAAGGCACTAGGCCCTTTCTTGAGGCCACTGAAATGTTTCATGAGTAACAGGTGCTCAACAAATAGTTGCTACATGGACAAATGAATGACTTCTTGGTGGTGCAATGTCCTGAGAGTTCACTGCTGTCCAGCACGTGGCAGTAGCCCAAGACGCTGGCAGAGGCCACTTGGCCAGGCCAAGTGATGTTGGAGTCTGGGCAGGGCCATCAACCTGGCTTTGGCCACACCTGCAGGAAGCCATTATTACCTCTTGTCTGTCACTTAATCCACAAAGACAAACCCTCAAAGTCTGCCTCCTGCTCACGAGGGACAGGGACTCCAGACCACTAAAAGGGTGACTTGTATAGGTGCTGCTTGGCGAGATGGTGCCAGGGGCGCAGCTCATCGTGGGCCTTGACAGAAATCGCAGAAACAGGCAGTACCAACCCAGCCACTTAATCACGAACAGAGGAATGGACTTACACAGATGAGAACCATGATGTTTGGACTCAGATCCTCCTGGGACTGGAGCTTAGCATTCTATGCTATGAACCGAGAGGTCAATTTTACATAAACACATTTGTAAACCTCTTGGGATTGGTACTAGTTACCACTTTGGATACGATTTTAGGCTTTGGTTAAAAAAATGCTTTGGAACAACTCTGTCCGATTAAAAAATGCAAACCACCTTTTTATTAGACACCAGGGTAAACTTTATTTTCCTACAAACTATAATGAGAATGAAAGAAACATATAGCACCTAAGTGCTGTGTTTCCGCTTTATTAAATCATCACAGTAAGTCAGAGTTAAAGAGGAGAAGAAGGTTAACTGGAGGGTCAAGTGGCGGCTGTCAGTGGGGCCGTGTGCTTTCCCGGCACGTGCCTTGGCGCACACGTACACACCTGCACCGGTGGGCTCCGCGTGAAGCTCTCTACCACCTAAGCACGCACCTAGGTGTGCAGCCTCAGGGAAATTAAATAAGAGACAGCAAAATAAGAATCAAATGACATACTATAACTTAATTTACCATATTTATCAAATTTTTTCCTTATTTACATTTACTAAACATTGTAGACCTGAAAACATAAGAAAACATTCACTTCATGTGTATGTCATACATAGATAATGAGTGCAACTAAAACGATGGTTGTTTCATGTTGAATTTCCCTTCAGACGCGGGCATTCCCCTTCAGTAGATATGGTAATAAATGTAACACAGTTACAAACACAACATCACAGTAAGTTTCAAAGGATTCAGCAAACCTCCACGTGATACGAATACAACAGGTCAGCGGAGCACAGGCGGGACCACCTGAGGAAGGTCAGGAAGACTGGATTTGCATGGCTCTTGGATCTGCGTGATCTCATTTGTAAGGCTAAGGGTCTGATCAATCAGCGCACATCACAAAGTCAAGGGTCACCCCACCCCCACCCCCGGCGCCCCCAACAACCTGTGGCTTTTAGGAGCTACAGGCTTAACGGCTGAAGACACTTTTGACAGTCATTCGCCCAGGCTAAATTTCCTTGCTTCTGTCTGCTGAAGGCTTGACTATTTTTAAAAAGTCATCGTTTTGCGAAATTAATATTTTTTAAAGTACAAAAACCTACTCAATGAGACTATAAACATCAGCTTTGCTTTAGATGGAAATCTGGAGACCAGTGTGCAGAGAAGTCAGGGAACTGGACTGGGCCTGCCTGAGGCCAGTGAGTCTTATCACATTTGGGGCCAATTAGTGCCACCTTTGTTTACAGAAGGCTGACCTAGTCACACTACTGTGATATGTCAGCACTGTGCCTCAGGTGGGTCCCTACCGGATGAATGACCCTCCACAATTTTGCTGAAAGGCATTTATTACAAAAACACAATATTTGCTTTTCTAAGCAAAAAAAAAAAAAAAAAAACTTAAATCATTTCAATTTTCCACCCCAAATAACAAAAATGACTCAAGTCCATGTGATCACAAGCAAACATGGTTGCCAGATTCCCTGCTGCCCCGTTCCCAACCTCCGAACCAGAGCTGTCACTGAGAACGAGGGGCTCAAAAAAACTCCAGTCACAAAACTGCTGGCTGTAACCTGGGGTCATGGGGTTGTTAAAATCACCAGGATTATGGGAGGGTGGAGTTATTTGCCACCTACAACTGAATTTCCCGCTTCGAGGTCAGGATCGCTGGTTCGTGGAGGCAAAATGAAATCAAGGAGCAGAAGTCCGTGAGAGTTAAACGTGACTTCCCAATCCTGACACTCTCTTCTGCTAAAGCCAGGAATCCTGCAGTGGGGGTTACCCTGAAGATGTGACGTCCTCTCGGAAGCTACTTGCTGCCAGAGGCCGACAGGGGACTCTGGAGCCCAGGACATGCCACGCGATTCCTGCAGGAACGACGCTCTGGGTACTTTGTAAACATGAAACGAAGCAGCTCAGCAACAGTCTCAAGTGTGAGTGACCCTGGCCAAACCACGCTGGCCAGAGAGCTCGAATCACTGAAAGAAAATGGGGGTGTGGGAGAATAAGAATCGTGGCATTTGCTGACACCGCAGAAAAAGCCATGACTCCTGGAAACCCTTTGTATTGCCATTAAGCAATAAGTGAACACACCGGGCCCTTTACGAGACAGCCCGGAGTGATTAAAGCTTACTTCTGCTTTGGAACGTCCCTCGTTCTCGTATGTTCAGCTAGTTCTCAAGTTGCTTCTGCCTGGTGGGCCTCAAACCCTACCTGTAATCCCCTAGAAAGCAGAAAAACAAATTCTCTCTAGAATCAGAAGGTCTGCCCTACTGACAGCAATGGCTGTCTCAGTCCTTTCTCACTTGTCCCAAGCGTGAGTCTGGCGTCTGGGTCTGCCATGTCCCCCACACAGGTCAGGGACCTGCCAAACCCACTCAATGGCCGATGGAAAAAACCGGCTGCTCAGTGGGGCGAGCAGGCTCGGGAGGCTTCTCCAGGCCCTTGGTGACCATGCAGGCTGCGGGCAGCAGCACACGGTGTGTGCAAGGGCAGAGGGCAGAGGGCAGAGGAAGGTGGAAAGGTCTCCGCATTGCAAGCCTTTAGCTAGTGGCTGCGTGTTACGGTGCTGTTCTTCGGTTGTGGGGGAAGGCGTTTCTCAGGGCGCGTGCACTGTGAAATGGTCTCAGGAGAACAGAGACTGTGCAGTGGGGAGGGACTCCATGAATTTCTCGGGTTTACCTCCGAGTTGGGGGTGAGCAAACCTCTAGCTCTGAGACCAGTCAAGGGCCAGGAGAGCAGCAGAGGCCTGAGCCAATCAGCTCTCCCCCGAGGACTGGCTTCTCTGCTGCTGGGTGGGTAGGGCCCACCCAGAGCCTCCCAGCAAGGGAGCCGGGCAAGCCCAGACAGAAGTCAGGGCTTGCCGTTCTTTCTGTTTTCTTTCCTTCTTTCTTACTTAAAAAAAAAAACCAGGCCCAATATGCCTTCCTTGGAACCAAACTGGTAAAAAATAAGGATGGAATCCCTTGCTTGAAATTTGTTTCCCTAAAGCTCTGTGTGACAAGAAACATTCTAAGGCTCACCTTGGCCCTCTCTGAGCAATAGACAGGAGCGAGATTGCAGGGTGAAGCTTCTGGACGCACAAGGGCCCGCCACGGCCTACCTAGCACCTGAAGCTGGCGCATGCCCTTCAGGTTGATGTGGTGCTGTGCTGTTTCGAGCCTTGGGACACTTCTTGTCCTGCAGGAACCCTTGCAAGGACGGGACCTTGTTTTCTAGAATCTTCTAAGTGTTCTGGGATGGGAGCGTCACTGTTGTGACCGGGAGGGCCTCTGGGTGGTCAGGAGAACCTCTTCTCAGTGGGCAACAGGCACCAGGTGGAAAACACTCAACAACTGAGGAAAAAGTTCTCCTGGGCAAAAGACCCTGGGGAAAGCCAATTTCCGCGATGATGAAATTTTTGAGTAAAGCATAAATCCTAACATAAGTAGCAAAATCAATGCAGACAAAATTCCTCAAACAATTAAACAGGTGTTTGCCAGCCCCTCTACAAATCATACGTGGGTTTATCAACTAGAGAAGACAACTGGTGGTACAGAAATCACCCTCTGCACCCTCCCTGAAAGCTCAGAATCTGTTCCTGCTGGGCTGTGTCTAGAGCAGCCACACCCATGGCCATGTGGAAGTGGGTTTGCTTCGGGTTACTGGTGACTTCTTCTTTTCTTCTTTGGAAGCCAAAGGCTTGTGAGGTTTCAGGACAAGATGGTGCAGTCTAGTTTGAAAGTCCCGTCTGAAACATTTGAGTGGAATTCACCTTTGACTTCAGAAAGTTTCCTGGAGTCTCGGGTTTACAGGCTCGGGGAAGGGCGGGAGAGTCTCTGATCTGTCTCCTCCTTACCCATGGGCTCTCGCGGTTGGCACTCGGGCTGGAGGCCAGGGGCCCTGCAAAGGAAGCAGACAATGGCCAAGTCATGGAGTCAGCTGACACTCTATGGCCACTGATTTAAGAGAGGATGCGTGGCGTGCAGAAGAAACAGAACCACGTCCCCAGGAAGAGGGTTTGATGACCTACTCCTGTGCTATGCCTGCAACGGTGTTTGTTGAATGAATAAACACACGAATGTCTTCCCTCCTGATCTTTGTCCTGGGCTTTTCTGCAGCATAAAAGAAGCGTTTTGAAATTAACTGAGACTTATGTCCAATTCACAAGAATAAAGAGAGAAGGCATCTGATTATAGTAAAAGATTCGAGGAGTGGCCAGTGAAGAAGCATTGACCAGTGGCCAGTGAAGAAGCATTGACCAGTGGCCAGTGAAGAAGCATTGACCAGAGTCAGTGAAAAACCCAGTGAAACTTTTATGGGAAGCTTTGTGGAGCCCTGTTGGTGTTATTGGGATCTCCACGTGTTTACATATTGATGTTTTACACCATGAGTTACAACTCAATTACTCCCCAAAGGGTCGAAACTGGAGGTCAGGACTAAATTGCTTGTCTGAATGAGTCCAGATGAGCATACAGCTATTCAGCACTGGAGAGAAAAGGGAATAAAATTAAAACCTGCGTACGCGCACCCCTCCTGTTCCCCAGGGCTGCTGCAGGCATGCTCAGAGGAACACAGGAATGCCTGGTGCAATACCCAGCCGCTGTTGCCGGAGCAGTTCGTTCTCCCCTAGGACTGTTCTGCGAACGAGAGGATCATTTCATCACCTTTCCCCTCGTAATGTATTTTTAAACCCTGTCGTACTGTGACCTAAGTTTCCCTGCATGACTTCTGCTGGGAACAAACCTCAAAAGCAGAGTTTCTCTATCTTCCCCCACAGGCTTTATTGTAGGGCTTTGGCCTTTGACGTTATTATTACTATTGTTGTTGTTTGTATTTAAAATTAATTTAAGTGGGTTATTTTATTCACAGACAGCACCTTTTTCATTTTCTGACTTTACCTTATTATTTTCTAGGAAGAGCTGCTGAAATCAATACTTGCAAACATACATGGACCTGTGGAGGCAGCCTGGTCCAGGGGGCTCTGAAATTCGGCACTTTCCGACTCCAGGGGCTGGGGTTTTACAGTGGCCGTCCTTCTTCCAGGCTCAGTAAGGTCGGGCAGAGAGAGAAGTCGTCCTGGGCCTCTGGCCTGCCATTTTTGTATTTAAAAACAGACTGCCTTTGACAAAGGCAGCACAGCCAGACTGTCATCCATGACAGAGGCGGGATTGTTAAAAGGCATCTCTCCACCCCCTGGAGCTGGTGGTGGGCAACAGCATTTAACCCAGGGGTGGGGGTAGTGGGGGGAACAGGCCTGCTTTACTCCCAGATAACACTCCAGTTGGAAATACCACCCTACCCACTACCACAATCAGATCAATTGGGATAAGGAAGCAAATGAATAAAATAAAAGCAAGTAAATTGAAAGCTATAAAGTGATTTTCAAAGAGCAAACCTTTGCTAATTCTGGATTACAGTAAAAATACTGTAGCCCCTCCACCCCCAGCCATGCTCCCAGGGAGAACAAGGAAGGAAGGAGGGGCGCACTTCGAGTTCCTGCGGCCATATGGACGGACAGAGCAACGCCAAGCTTTGTCCCACTGAGTGGACCCGAGTCCATGGCACGAAGCTCTGCAGTGAAGGGCACTCGTGCATCTGAGAACAGGGACCCTGAGGGCCAGGGGCAAAGGGCAAAGCCACACCTGGAGTTGGGCTGGGGCCAGTGTCACGGAGCCCCACGCATTCCTCTAGTCCCCAACTTTCTGCATGCATTCTTCCCGTCCCCAACTTTTCCCTGGCATGTCGCCAGCCTGTGATGGCTCTGGATGTGCCTGCCGTGCCCCGAGGTTGGTGGCGAGGCAGCAGCTGCACCACAAGCAGGCAGCCACGGAGGAGAAAGGCCGCCTTGCTAATGTGACAATGCCACTTGCAAGCTGCAGGCAATGGCTCCACTGGAGTGGCCTTTTCCTGGTGATGGGAGCCCGAGGCCTAGTCAAAGGACACCCGGGCCCCACCTCACCACTTGGGTTGCAGGAACAGGAAGGACGTGCATGGACACGAGGGGCTCCGCAAATAAAAACTTTTGCAGGAGACCTGGGAGGGGGTAGTACAGCCCTGCTCTGCCCCATCTTGATGTAAGCATGTGGGCTCTGCGGCTGTCACCTGTAGGGGGTTAAGTGAGCCCAGTTTGGGCCAAAGCCATGGCCTAAGGGAGAAGAAAGGGCAAGTGGCCTGCGGGTCAGCTGGCTGGGGTTCTGGCTGCTCACCCGGCCTGCAGAGGTAACGGCCCCTGCCTGGTGGAGGAGGGTGATGTCTTGGATAAACCAACAAGCCTAGACCCTAACATCCCACCTCCACAGCTACTAAGACAAACAGTGACCAGCACCTGTGCCATGCGTTGCACCGCGGGTGACAGGGCTAATAAATGACAGCTCACTCACTCGCCTTCTCCTTCGGCAGCATCACTACCATCATCGTCGTCATTAACTGCTCTCTGCCACCTGTGAGCCTGTGAGTTGGGACGGCCCAGGCCCCCCGGGACGGGGTTTTCAGCCAGCCCTGCCAAGGCGCCTGCCATCCATCAGAGTGCTCTGGGCAGGGCCTGGAGCCCAGACCCAGGACGCAAAGGCCAGGCTGGGGAGGTCACACCTGCCATGGCCAGGCTGCCCTCTGGGTCCTAGACTGCAGCCGACCCCCGGGTTCTCCACCCTCTGTGCTCCCCAGCTTTTGTCTGCTTTTCCTCCCCCAGCTGTTCCATTCAGCAGCCCCCTCGACAACCTGCCCTCCCCGCGTGGAGGCCTTGGCGGCCTCCATTAAGGCTGGCGGTCAAAGGCCGGCCCAGCACGTGCCGCGTCTTATCGGCCCATCTCAAGACCCTGCTCCTCCAGGCTGAGGCAACAAAAAAGGGGGCGGCCCCGGTGCCCATCGGCTCCCTGCAGCCCCACACACAAAAGGGCGGGCAACAAAGACATTTTCTGTGATGGCAGGTGTTGGTGTCGGATTCCGCCCGGAGTGATCGGGGCAGAAGAAAGGCGAGGCTGGGCTTCCCTGGGCAGCGGCAGCACGCAGACACGCAGGGGCAGGAGCTCTGCAGGGCCCCTCGGGAGGGGGGTGGGGGCAGCAAAGGCCCAGGATGGCGAGGGTCACTGCGCAGCGGCAGGTCTGGAGGGGGCCTGTTAGAAATCCCCACCCCCTCCCCAAAAGCAGGGTGCTTGGGTGAGCCCACTGAACCGGCAGCCTTACCTTGCTCAGATACTGTAACGGGACCTTTGTGGATTTTAATCTGAAGGGAAAGAACATAAAATCAAATGAATACAAGCACGGTACCCCCGTAGCTCCAACTTGATAATTAACACAGTGCCAATAATTCCTGAGCTGTTGGAGCAGCCTCAAAGCCTTGCAGATCAGTAAGAACTGAAAATTCACGTGAAAATTCTACTTAATAGGACAAAACACTATCTGACGTGACAATGACAAAGGTGAAATGAAGAGACGTTAAAACTCCTAAGATGTAAAAGCGCAGGTCCTGTTAGGAGCCCTGCAGGCAGCGCGCAGCACTGACAGCCGTGTCCTCTTCCTGGTGTCCAAACTTTTCCCACTGGTGTGGCCTAAAGTATAGCTAAAGATAAAACAGTTTTCGAGACAAAGCATTTGGAATTCAATGAATAAAATATAATCAAAACCCTCTAGGTGTGCAAGTTTACATGTCTCTAAGTTTCATTTTGCAGGTTTCTGAGTTATACAAAGTGTGTTAATTCAGTACTAGTGTGATCTGCGATGTGACAGTCCCCAGGGAGGGGACACGCAGCATGCTGTGCAACTGGAAGGCTCAGGAGGGGACACTGCAGCGTCACAATCAGACCATGGGCTCACGTTCTCACCCACAGAGCTGCAGGCTTCTCTGCGGTCACACCGAACTGAGAGAGGACCTTAGTTTTTCCATACTTTGTGACACAGTCTTCGAATCACCCCACCCCTTCTGTACCATTCTGTTTCCTATTTTCCTTGGGGCAAATGCGCCCTCTTTCTAAGTCAGGCAGTAGCTTCTCACTCCCAACCCCCAACAAGTCTCCTGAATTCAGTGCCAACAGACCACCATCAAATCTGGACAAAGGACATTTAGCGGTGACATGGACCACTGTCTGCACGACCACAGTTGTAAACTTGGATTTTCTGCTGACCCCATCTGCCAAGGTTGGCACAGCGACCAGGGCCAGTTTCTAAGACAGTGGTTCAGGATGCCATTGGAAGAAGGACCACTGACATTCTCCACGCTCTGGCTCTCTGAAAGAAATGTGCACTTCTATGAAAACATGTTTCTATTGATGAAAATTATCCCCGCCCCAAAGGAAAATTATTTAGGGTTAGGAGTTTCCTGATCAATAACTGATCATGGACTGTGGATGATCAGTAACATTCTCCGTCCTACTTGGTTTGATTTCCAACCACTGTTAACACTGCTCCTTCGCCACACGTTGGTTGCACGCCTCGGGCATGAGAAGTTCTGGGCTGCTTTCGATTGTTGGTAACAGAGTAGAGTGTTTTCCTTGGACCCTCTGGATAATGCAATCATCTGGATTTCCTATCTCCCCCATTGCTCGTGCCGTGGGGCTGTTTCCTCTCGTGGAAGATGGCAAATACAGAGCGTCTCTGTGTAGGTCTTCCTTGAGTTGAGGTGTCTCAGCTTTTCAGAACACCGTGCTACTGACATTCCCCAATGTGAGCCAAGGGTCTCTATAGGAAGGGGCTCCTTGATCTCGCTCCCCTGCAGCCCTGCAGCCCTGCAGCCCTGCACTGTGTGCGTGCTGGTTATGCCGTGCGTATAGGCACCCGATTGGTAGAAACCACGAAAGCAGATGGCGCGGTTAACAATGGAGGACTTGTTTGTAATTGCTGATGAGGATTGCTCCGCTCCTCTCCTGTGCACCCCCAGACGCAGCCTGGTATGGTGTGCCGGACCACAAAGAATGTCTCAGTGACTGCCAACCCACGGGTGAGTTAAGGAGATGCAAAGACGGAGACAGTTGGGGGCTGCCTTGATTATTCCATGGGGCTCAAATGTCACTTGCCCTTGACACACACGCAGTGTTCCCAAAGGGTGGGGTCCCAGTCATTGGAACAGGAGTAAGCTGTCAGCTTCCTGATGCATCCCTCGGGGTAAGCATGAGGCATCAACTAACCTGGGCAGTGTTGGAAGGCACCAGAAGGGAGCACTGTGCTTAGAGATGAGGGGTGGGAAGAGGCCAGGAGGCACGTGATGCCTGGGGGAATAGGGGAGACACAAAGCATAATTATTTCATCTTTCCATCAACCGGGCACCAGATGTGTGCCAGGTACCCACTCTAGCTCGGAGTTACAGCAGAGAACAGAAAAAACCCTGCTTTTCGAGGCTCCGGGGAAGGAGTTACAGCAAGCTGTCTAAGGAGGCAACATCACCCCTTGGGGGGAAAAATATTTTACGGTTTGTATGTATAAAGCACAGATACAAGTACTGTGAATAAACAGATACACAGTATTTCTGTGATTTTTCAGGGGATGGGACAAAGCAGGAAATAAAAATGTCTTAAAAGACTCCATGGTGGGGTGATAACGGAAAAAAAAAAAAAAGCAAGAGATACTGGGTTATAGGATTAATATGCATCTTAAATTCCAAGTTTTTTTTTTTTTTTTTTTTGAGATACAGTCTCGCTTTGTTGTCCAGGCTAGAGTGAGTGCCATGGCGTCAGCCTAGCTCACAGCAACCTCAAACTCCTGGGCTCAAGTGATCCTCCTGCCTCAGCCTCCCGAGTAGCTGGGACTACAGGCATGCGCCACCATGCCCGGCTAATTTTTTGTATATATTTTTAGTTGGCCAATTAATTTCTTTCCATTTATAGTAGAGACGGGGTCTTGCTCTTGCTCAGGCTGGTTTCGAACTCCTGAACTCCGCCCACCTCGGCCTCCCAGAGAGCTAGGATTACAGGCGTGAGCCACTGCGCCCGGCCCCAAGTTATTTTTATATATTGGTGGCCCTGGGAATCAGGAGTCGGCCCCATGCATGCTAAGAGCAGCTGAGCGAGACTCCTTGGGGGAGAGCCTTGACCAGTTTGACTCGGACACCAAAAGGCCAAACTGTGGCCAACTGGAGGCTCAGACACAGAGTTTGAACCTGAGGAATCCAGAAGTCACTTTTAAAGAAAGATGTCTTCTTTGGCCTCGTGTGACTTCTTGGCTACTCTGGAAATCAACAGGGATTTAAAAATACACAGGAAACAACAGGCCGGTTGGAGGTGAGTTCTATCCAGCTCTGCCTTGCAGAGGGTTTCAGGAATTGGTGGGGCTTTTTACAGTGTGTTTTCTCCAGCTGCACTCACTGGGAGAGCAGAAGAGCAAGGGTCTGAACCAGGCCTCTTATCTCTGAGGAAAGGCTGCCATCCAGGACTGCCACCTGGGATGACACTGGGCAGGGCCAGACAAGAAAAGTGGCTGCCTCTCCCCGGATCCTTGTTACCGAGCAGTCAGTGTGGAAAATGATTAACTGGCTCAAGATAATTAGGAAAGAGAATGATTTTGAGAGCTGGCATGGAGGGAGAGAAACAGTGGACCAGGGTTCCAGCTTTAGGCGAGTGCTAAATATCCTACCAGCAGGAAGGCGGACGGAGTGGGCGATCAGAGGGCTGTCTGTGCTATTCAGACCCCTTGGAATGGCTCTGAGGAAGGGAACAGGTGCAGGCAGTGGATGGGGTAAGCCTACACACTCAACTCAACACTGGCAACCCAGGACCAGTGGGAATTAGCCAGCTTAATCAACATCTCCAAATGGCCCAAGGATGGCTTCCAGGATTTCCAATCCAGCAGCAGTGGCTGTGTCCTGGCCTCAGCCCTAGCTCTGGGCTTGGCTTGCTCTTTTTGGTTGTTGGTCTTGCCCATCAACTTTGGTTCTGAAGCACAAAGCTAGGACAGCTGGACCAACAGCAAGGGAGGAGGAAGGGAGAACGCACGTATCGTGTGCTGCACGCGCGCACACGCCTGTGCAGGAGCTAAGTAGTAAGCAGGCGGAACACTCAGGAAAAAACTTTCCTGGCATTTTTCTCTTTTCCTTCTGCAACTATAATGTACTTTTATGGATTTATGACTACATTCAACTACATCATACATTTAAAATTAATATCTTAGTGTCAACTTTCTTGTTAGGCCATCCTGGAGAAAGGTTTCCAGACCCTCTCACTACCTCGCTGAACGTGAATACCGAGACTGCAGTTGCGCCTTGGCCATGGGAAGGCCGTGCATTTTACCAGAATGGATTCGCGTCAGTGAATGGCAAAACAGTACGTGAGTGTTCATGGCAGCAACATTCACAACAGCCCAAAAGCAGAAACAGCCCAAATGCCCATCAACTGGGGAATGAACAAACAAAATGTGGTCTATCTTTACAATGGGATATTCTTTGGCAATAAAAAGAAATAAAACACTGATACGTGCCACAACATGGATGAACCTTGAGAACATGCTAAGTGAAAGACAGTCACCAAGGACCACAGGACCACAAATCGTATTCATTTTATTGATGTAAAATGTCCAGAGTAGGCAGATCCGCAGAGACGGAAAGTGGATCAGTGGCTGCTTATGGCTGGGGGGTAGGAGGGGGGAATGGGGATTGACTACTGACAAATATGTTCTAGAATCAGATGGTGGTGATGGTGGCTGGCGCCTTGTGAATATACTAAAAATACTGAATTGTACATTTTAAATGGATGAATTACATGATATGTGGATTATATCTCAATAAAGCTGTCGTTAAAAATGACAAAATCACCGGGCATGGTGGCTCACGCCTGTAATCCCAGCCTTTGGGAGGCTAAGACAGAAAGATCGCTAGAGGCCAGGAGTTCAAGGCTGCAGTGAGCTATGATCATGTCACTGTACTCCAGCCTGGGTGACCAGGGGGGTGGGGGGACTTTACCTCTAACAAAAAAGAAGAGTGCAAAATAGAAAAGGTGGGTCTGGGGCCGGGCGTGGTGGCTCCCGCCTGTAATCCTAGCACTCTGGGAGGCCGAGGCGGGTGGATCGTTTGAGCTCCGGAGTTCGAGACCAGCCTGAGCAAGAGTAAGACCCCACCTCTACTAAAAAGAGAAAGAAATTACTTAGACAGCTAAAAATATACAGAAAAAATTAGCAGGACTTGGTGATGACGCATGCCTGTAGTCCCAGCTACTCGGGAGGCTGAGGCAGCAGGATCGCTTGAGCCCAGGAGTTTGAGGCAACAAAGCGAGACTCTGTCTCTCAAAAAAAAACACAAAAAAA